AATACTTGAAAAGCAATTTTTTGTGTGTGTGTACCACTCAAAGAAAGATATAACAGAAGTTAAATCCTAAAGTATAAATAATTTTTCTTCCTCCTTTCTTCATGGAGAACCTGTGTGGCACTCCCAGATACCTTTTATACTAACACAGAAATTCACTGATTATTTGTTTAGTGACATAAGATATTAGCTCACTTATAAAAAAAAGAAAAGAAAATAATTCATCGAAAGGCAGTGCTTAATCCATAATGATTCTGAAGAATATCTGGCTCTGACCTAGTCCCCCAAACCACTACAATGTTAGTATTTTAAATTAATCACATCAAAAATAAATGTAGTATCTGTACCTCTCTATCTTGAATTATATAAACGCATAAGTCAAGCTAAAAAAAAACATTAATTAATCTCCTTCCCTTCCTTTCCCTCCCTCTTCTCTCCTTCCTCCCTCCCTCACTCCTTTCTCCCTCTCCCCTCTTCCCTCTCACTCTTTCACACACAAGTCCCAAATACATTAGATCTTTTCATAACATATTTAAAATAATAATAATAAATTAAACACTCTTCTTAGAATAAAAGTGATGTCTTAATGAGTGAAAAAGTAACTGCCTCAAGCTAGGAAAACAAGATTTTAAAAATAATGTCATTACTATGTATTTTTTATTGTTGACAGAAACTATGATGATTGTCGTATGTGCAAACTTTAAAGACTTAGAAACAGAATTTTCTAACTTCAGTGGGTTTTGAACCTATTTCCTAAAAATATTAAACCACAGCCTTTTAATTTATTTTCTGGAAAACCTGTTTTGTATCATTGAACATTGGAAATCTATTAGCTCAATTTCAGCAGAAACCTTTGCATAATTAAGGTATAAATTGAAATTTTGGTATCATGATTTAGTAAGTATAGCACTTCTATTTGTATAGCTGTGTCTTTGTGATGTCCAATGAAACCAAATATCAAGCCAGTTTTGGTGTCAGACCTTTGAAGCACTATATATTTTTTGTGTGTGTAAGAAAAGTGTTGTCATTGATAAATATAATTTTTAAATTACTCTAGAATATTATCTGAGCCCTTTAAAATTTCAATATTTTTGGTTTTACATAATATATACTAGTTAAATAACAATGCATACAGTATATGTATTTGGGAGATACAAATGCAAAAATTTCTTAGTGGTGGGAGGTACATGATCAAAAAAGCATGGAGACCAGTTTGTTTAAGCTGTTGTCATCTCCTATTTGTACCACTGCAGTTATCTCCTAACAAATATCTTTACTTCCATTCTAGATTTCTCAAAGCTGTTCTCTACTTAATAGCCAAGGTAATCATCACAATATGCAGATGTGCTTGTATAATTCTTCTGCTTAGTAAATTGCACACACACACAAATCTTTAATATGGTTTATAAAGTCTATAAACTATGTGATCTAGCCTCTCTGGTCCTGAGTCTAATTTCTTAACCTTCTTCCTTCTGTACTTTTTCCTCCCATGGGCTGCCTTTAAGTTCTTTATACTAGCTGTGCTCCTGTTCTTTCTTGCCTTTACACATGCTTTTCTCTCTACCCTAAACACTTACCTTTCCCTTCGTTTCCCAGTTTACTTCCTACATAACCGTCAAATTTCATACTGAACAGTACCTACTCAGGGAAGCCTTTGTTCATTTTCCCGATCAGGGGTGTGTGTGTGTGTGTGTTTGTGCGTGTATGTATGTATCTGTATGTGTCTGTTTCGCGTGCACACACACACATAATTGTAAGCTCTTTTATAATGCTGTGTAAGCATTTGCCCTTCATTGTACTTAACACAATTGCTATTTTACCTTGATTTGCATGAGTAGTTGCAAAGATATTCATTGACATTAAGCTCCATGAGGACAAGGCCCATGTTAGTTTTTGCTTAATTCTGTTTTTCCAGTACTTAGATATGTGAGTGAATGTTTTATCAAGGAGTTTGGGTTTCATCCCTAGGAAAAACAAAGAGCCATTGGAGGCTCTGTGATAGGAGTAATGGTGACAAATACTAAGACTTGGGCTTTAGAAAGGTCAACTAGAGGCTATAGCTGAGTGAAGGAGAGAGAGACTAGAGCCAGGAAAATCCATTAGATGGCCATCGTAGATGAAGAGAGGTGAGGACCTAAAAAGTCTTTGCAGCGTAGATGGAGAGGAGAAGGTGTTGCATGTAGTAGATGGTCTGGAGACAGAATCCAGTCGCATTGGTAACTAGCTGACTGATTATTGTCAGAGGTGAGGGGATGGAGTCAGAGATTACTTAAAAGCTTGGACTATTAAACTTTTAGGCCATTTACTAGGTAAATGAGTATAAGACAATTAGCCTTTCAAGGGGGGTGGAGAATTCTTTTCATTTTTAATAAGATTCACAGGAGTGACCTCTTGGCCACTGCTGTATTTAAAGACTGTTTTAGAATAGCTTTATTTGAGATATAATTCACATACTATGCAAATTATCCATTCAGAGTATACAATTAAATGGTTTTGAATATATTTATAGACATATGCAACCATTACAACAGTCAATTTTAGAACATTTTGGAAAATCCGTGGTGGTCCAGTGGTTAGGACTCTGCGCTTTCACTGCCGAGGGCCTGGGTTCAATCCCTGGTCGGGGAACTAAGATCCCACAAGCCACATGGCACAGCCAAAACTAAACAAACAAACAAATAAATAAATAATTTTTTAGAACATTATCACCTCAAAAGGAAACTCCCCACTGTTTAGCTATCAACCTTTTCCCCTCTGTTCCCCTCCCAGTGCTACCCAACTACTAATCTGTTCTCTCTATAGATTTCCCTTTCCTGGATATTTCATGTAAATGGAATCATATCATATATGGTCTTTTGCAACTGGATTCTTTCACTTGGCATAATGTTCAAGGTTCTTCAAGTTGTAGCATGTATCAGTTCCTTCGTTCTTTTTTATGGCCAAATAATATTCCATTGTATAGCTGTATATCATTTTGTTTCTGAATTCATCTGCTGATGGACATTTGGGTTGTTTTGAGCTTTTTGTTTTGTTTTGAGCTTTTGGCTACTATGGATAATACTTCTGTAAACCTTTGTATGCAAGTTTTTGTGTGGACATATGTTTTTGTTTCACTCGGTTATACACCTGGGGGCAGAATTGCTGGGTCATGTGGTAACTCTATGTTTAATCATATAAGGAACTGCCAGAATGTTTTCCAAAGCAGCTAGCTGCACCATTTTGTATTTCCCATTAGGCTTTCAATTCTTCCACATTCTTGTCAACACTTGTGATTATCTGTCTTTTTGATTCTAGTCATCCTAGTAAGTGTGAAGTGGTTATCTCATTGTGGGTTTGATTTGTATTTCCCCCCAGTGACAAATGATGTTGAACATCTTTTCATGTGCTTTCTGGCCATTTGTATATCTTTCATGGAGAAATATATAGTCAGATCCTTTGCCCACTTTTTCATTGGTTTACTTGACTTTTATCATTGAGTTGTAAGAGCTCTTTATATATTGTAGATACCAGTCTCTTATCAGATATATGATTTGCAAATATTTTCTCCCAATTTGTGTGTTGTCTTTTCACTTTTTTTCTTAGAATATTTTTGTTTTTATTGGCATTATTATTATTTTATGGTAGTATCTTTTCACTTTCTTTATGGTGTCCTTTGAAGTACAAAAGTGCTTAATATTGTTTTTGGGTTATTTTGCGGTACGCGGGCCTCTCACTACTGTGGCCTCTCCTGTTGCGGAGCACAGGCTCCGGACGCGCAGACTCAGCGGCCATGGGAAGCCCAAAAGTTCTTAACATTGATGAAATCCAATTTACCTGTTTGTTTCTTTTGTGTCTTGTGCTTTTGGTGTCATGTAAGAATTCTTTGCCAAATCCAAGGTCATTAAGATTTGGGCACTACATTCTCTTTTGTAGTTTTATCTCTTATCTCTTACATTTAGGTCTTTGATCCATTTCAAGTTAATTTTTTTAATATTGTCTGTGGTAAGCATCCGACTTCATTCTTTTGCATATGGCTGTTCACTTGTCCCAGAACCTTTTGTTGAAAAGAGAATTCTTTCCCTGTTGGATGGTCTTCACACCCTTGTTGAAAATCAGTTGACAATTGATGTAGGTTTACAGTTTTTTTTAACACCAGAACTATATTTTAGCTTAGATACTGTTTGGATTTCTCTTTCACAGATAATTCTGTCATTAAAGGAAGATTGTGCTTATTTTTAAGTAAGCTGTTACAGATGCTAGGGATGTTTGTGTAATCTTAGTACTACATTGGGTACCACAGACTTAACCTAGAAAAATGCACAATTTGCACTTGTGAAACAGCTGTTCTGATGTTGAAAGTTGAGTTTGGAAAGTCATGTTTCTTTCATGGACAGTGACATTTTGGTTTTCTTTTCTTTTCTTTTTGGCTTTCTTTTTACGGATGCTTCCTGAATGCCAGGCACTGTGCTAGTATAGGGCTTACAAAGAAGTACATAAAACGAGTATGGAAAATCTCTTCCTCAGTTTGCTAATTGTAAGATATTGGGAGCTTACAATATTGGGAGAGGAAGTAAAATGACATGGGAATAACATAGTAGGAGTTGCTAGTTCATAAAAGTGGTATATTTTGAGTCTATATAGTTTGTACAGCTATTTTCACTCTAGTATACGGTTATTAGTATTACTTTTTTAAAAATAACATTTCCTTAAGACCAAGAATTAAATTAGGATATGAGTACCATGGATGCTGCTGAATAGAAATGAATGATAAAGAAAGACTTACATAGCTTGATGCTTTTTGTATTAAGCTCTGGGAAACTCTGTTATTGACCACAAAATTGCTGAGGCTGTTCAGATGGAATCATTAAATTCTTTTGGTGTTTTTTTCTTTTATGTATTCTTAGGAACTCAACAGGATCTTTCATTGAATTAGCTGGAATTGAATAGTTTAATTTGAAGCATTTTTCTCTAATGAACCTGTTTCTCTTAATGTCACTATATAATTTTATGTCCCTTTTTCTTAGGAGTCTCAGCAGTCCAATTTTGGCCCTGGAGAACAAAGTGAGTATTTCTTTTCCTCTTGGTTTTCAAATTAAGCTGCACATTCATTTCTCATGGTCACATCATGTATTTCTTTAATAATTCTCTTGTATGTCTTATCCCAGTTTTTAAAATTTTTTTGGCCACACCGCATGGCATGTAGGATCTTAGGTCCCTGACCAGGGATTGAACCTGCGTCCCCTGAAGCGGGAGCGAGGAGTCTTAATCACTGGACCGCCAGGGAAGTCCCTTATCCCAGTATTTATTATCTGATGATCAGTAATGGATTGAACTGAATCTTGGCTTGAAAGATGAAGAATTAAAGATCATTGGAGATCAAAATTAACTGTTTTTACTAAGTATTTGAACTAATAGTTCAGAGTTCATAAATTCAATTTGATGGGCACCTCATAACCCCAAGAGCCATACTTCTGTCTTTCCATCTCCTTCATGAAGATACTGGGTTCTATTATGGTAAAACTCCAGGCAAGAAGGGGTCATTGTAGCTTACCATGGCTCTTCTCTTCCCATATCTATATTTATCTATTCTTCCTGGGTGTTTTTGGCTGGGAAGAAAGTCTGCTGTCTGCTACACAACTCCCCTCCACCTCCACTCTCTTGGCCTCTCAAAAGAACTTGAGGGGAAGATAGCCTTGGGGAATTCAAGTGTGATTCAAAGAGTTGATGGCTGTGTGAATTGGTAATGGTAAGGTCAGGAACCTTGCAAATGTCTGGGCTTCACCATATAGCTCTCTAATAAAACAAATGTTCTTTTGCCAAGAGCAATAACTTTTCAGATAGATTTACTCTGGTAATAAGCTATTTTGGGAGATTAATATGTGGAGCATTTTAATCCATTTTAATCCTTAATCCAATCCAATCCTTAGTTGTCTTTAGTGATCTTAAAGCAGAGACAGAACTAGAAGAATATCCATTTTAAGGTTAACAAACTTTTTATGTATCTATTTCTTCGTTCTGCCTTAAAGCTGCAGTTATAGGAAAAAAAGGACCCAACATTGTTGATATACAGCAGATAGCTAGCTGTAGGCCAGAAAGTTTACATTTTCTCTTAAAATCTTTTAAGAATGTCTCATCCTTACTTCTCCCCTTCTCCCATTCTCTCTCCCCAAAGCTCCCTATTGGCAACCGGGCTCATAAGCTTCACCTACTCTTTATTACCTGTATTTTTCACTTAATTTATTTTAGAACTCTTTTATATCAGTATAAAGCTCTAGTTCATTATTTTTAAAAACAAAATTGTGTTATATTGTTGAAAGTATTGTAATTTGTTTATCTAGTCCCCTGTAGGTGGACATTGGTTTCCAGTTTTTGCTGTTGCAAACCATACTATAATAAACTGTGTGTGTGTGTCTGTGTGTGTCCGTTGTCTGTGTGTGTCCATGTGTCTGTGTGTTTATGTATTCCTCTAGATATGCCTGTAAGGTAAATTCCTTTCCTTATAATTGCTAGGTCAGTGGATATGTGCATTTACAGTGTTGGTAAGATAATATTATCAGACTGCTCTCCAGAAAGATTGTATGAGTTTATAGCCCTACCAATGACATAGGAACATGCCTATTTCCACCAGTATTTCATATTATTGCATTTTAAGGTGTTAACCAACTTGATGGATGAAGAATTTTAGCGCAATTTTTTGATTTATATTTCTTTGAGGTTATGTTGATAGATATTTAAAAATATAAATAGCCATACTATAGTTGCTGATTTCTGCATTCCTTTTTGTTCCAGAAAGATATAATCCTTCTTCTAAAACTTCCAATGGGCACCAGTCTAAATCGTAAGTTTATGGCTTAGTAAGTTTAATGTTTGTCTTTTTTTGCTAAAAGTCTAACTGTAGTATCAATATTTAGAACAACACTTAGAAATATGTACTTAATCTTTTAAGGCAGGGGTAGGCAAACTTTTATGTAAAGGGCCAGATAGTGAAATAGTTTAGGCTTTAGGGGCCAAATGGTTTCTGTCTCAACTACTCAGTTCTGCAGTTGTAGCATGAAAGCAGCCATAGACTATGGGTGTGGCTGTGTTCCAATAAAACTTTCTTTACAAAATAGGTCTAGATTTCACTTGTGGACCATAGTTTGCCTACCCCTGCTCTGCGATTGTGATTACACTTTTTTCTCATCTTTCAGAAGTGTGTGTGTGTTTGTGTGTGTTGATAGTTTGTTTTTAATTAAAAAAAAAAACCATGAAAAAGTATAGGATTCCTCTTAGTATGCCCTCCGTTTGACCACTAAGTGTAGAATATTAAAGCAACATAGTTCATATGGTATAAGTTTTCCTACTTTTATTTTGTAGGTAGACCCAGGAATATATTGGCTTGGCCAAAAAGTTCGTTCGGGTTTTTCTATAACATCTTACGAAAAACCTGAATGAACTTTTTGGCCATCCCAATAAATCAAAATACGATAGGGTTGTATATTGGATGATAATAAATTCCAAGCTTAAAGAATGCAATAACTACTGAATTTCTGAGACCACAATTTAACCCAATGATTAAAACAAAATTCTAAAGAAACTGACCACAGTGCTAGCTTTATACAATAACCACAATCTATACTGATAACCTCAGCCTCCTCAGCTAAACATAGTGGGAGCTGAGAATGAAAATATATGAATGCAAGGAGTTTAGCCTCACTGCTAAAGAATTCAAATTATGTAAATTCCTATTTATCATATTTATTCATGGGCAGAAAACTGATGGGAGCTTACCATGTATGTGCATATCACTTTGGTTGCTGACAGAACAAAAGCATGAAGGACCTTGAGCGGTCTGGTAAAAGCTTTGACATATTCACATGTGTAAACAGGTTCATTGAGCTGCCATTATTAAAGTATAAGGGCTGAGAGATTTCAGAGTAAGTACATTTCTTTACAGGAAATCAGTCATAAAGATGCACTAAGCCCTTGTCCAAAAGAAAAAACTCTTTTTCTCTGTCCCGCTTAATTGGTCATCCTTAGAACACTTTTCCTAATTCTGTAATCATGTGGTTACTTTGTCTCAAGGTGATCTTTTATGTGATACTCTGAATTTGGGATCAGATTTAGAAACTCAGGTTAAGCTTTGAGGGGAGAGTATAAGTAGTTGTTGGAGTGAAAGAAGATTTCCTTTCCGCTGATTGGAGACTGTCGTGAAATTTTAAGAAGAAAGGTAAATGGAGCTAGTGGTAATGAGAAATTAAACATTTTCTAGTTGTAGTTTTCCCTAAGCTTTGTGTTAATTTTTCCTTTCTTGTAAAAAGGCAAGGAGCGTTTTGTGGTTCATTACTCAGTTTTTAGTTTTGATTTTATGGCCTTAAGGAAAATTTAAATCTGTAATTTTACTTTCAAAAACTAATTCCAGAAACTATCAACTTATAGTATTTATTTGTGTTTTTTTTGATCAAGGAAGATTTGGAGACTGGAGTTTATTTTTAATTTATACATGGTTATTTCTCTTGTATAACCAAGGTTCTTACCCAAAATTGTTATATCTGCAAGGATCAGTCGTCTTTCATAGCAAGGCATTTATGAACTAGAACTTTGACTGTGTGTTCTGGTTTTCACAATCATCCAAGTGTACATATCTCTTCATGAAACATTGGGGACAGTGAAAGAGAATTTTTGATGCTTTCATTTTATCTTCCTTCCTTTTAGGAGTTATATTTCTCTAGTGGACTGTTGGGTATGCATATGGTCATTTGTTTTAATAATGGAAGAGTTTGTGTGTATGCAATTAGAGAAAAGCTAGAGATAACAGAAGTGAGTATAAAGAGTTTGTGGAAGGTAGCTTTTTTTAATTAGAAAAGAAAGATGAATATTGTACTTATGGAAAAGTGAGCTTCCAAAACTGTTAAATTCCACCTTTCTTAATTTTTTACTCTAGATGTGCACCAAACCAGATAGAGTAAGACTTACTTGTTGTTTTCTTTATTTTTCAAGTAAATCTTTGGCTACCACAGTGATTATTCCTAGAATTATTGGTAGATATTTAATACTCTGGTATGCCATGATGAAGTTCCAAAAATAATAATCCTTTCTGCCTTTTCCTTTTAGTATGTTAAAAGATGACTTAAAACTAAGCAGCAGTGAAGACAGTGATGGGGAACAGGTGTGTCTACTACTATATAATTTTGCCAGTTTCATACAGTGTTTTCATTGTAGTTTATAAGAATTATAATTAAATAATACATAAGAATTATAATTAAATAATACATTTATGATTCCGTTATTTAAAATAAGTTCCTTCCTGCTGTCTGACACTAGAATGTTATAGTTTTCCACTTTGTCTTTAAACCTCCATTTTTTTCTTATTTAAAAAAAACTGGCTTTTTCTTAATACTTATATATCAGAATATACTCGTGAAGCACAAGATTGTTGACAAGAACTATTAACACAGCTTTTAATCTTATCCTGGCAATTATTCTTTAGGTAAAAACAGTATTTTTGTAAGTGTTAAGTGACCATTGATGCATACATTAGAGAAGCCAGTTTTTCTATTAAGATTTCAGATATTGTTCACATCAAGCATATAGAGTACTATTTATTCATTCACAGATTTCCTCTCACGTTTTTAATTTTAGGATTGTGATAAGACAATGCCAAGGAGTACACCTGGAAGGTAGGCATCCTTTTATTTCTTGTGTTATTTAGAGTGGAAGGGTCAGTCCGATAACAGTGTAGTGATAGAGTAATTGACCTTATAAAGTAAATATTATCGATTGTGATGGTGGTTTTACAACTCTATAAAGTAACTAAAAATCATTGGATTGTATACTTAAAATGGGTGAATTTTATGGTGTGTAATTTATACCACAGTAAAACTTTTTTAAAGGTAAGTACTAATGGCTGAGCCGCATTTCAGATATTTTTTAAGGAAGTATTTATTTCATTTATAATGAAGTTCTAGATTCATAGAATTATAAGAGCTTAACAAATAGTAAACATTTTAAATAAAGTTCATTGTCAGATTTGAATGTTTACCTGTTGTCCCTCTAAAAAAAAAGTTTTTATCATTTATATGTTTCATCTCTTTTAGTAACTCTGAACCTTCACACCATAATAGTGAAGGGGCAGATAACTCCAGGGATGATTCTAGCAGCCACAGTGGATCTGAAAGCAGCTCTGGATCTGACTCAGAGAGTGAAAGTAGTTCCAGTGACAGTGAGGCAAATGAGCCATCCCAGAGTGCATCTCCTGAGGTGAGAGGGGGGCAAGGGGGTGCCTTCCATAGGCCCTCAGAAGGCCCCTGGTGATGGCCAGTAAAGACTAGTTTCAAATATAAAAATGAAGAAAAGAAGATTACATATTCTGACAAAAAGAAACTGAACTGTGTATCTTGGAGGAAATTTAGATACTTCAGTGTCCTTGTTATGTGAACATATTTGGTCTAGATTAGGGACTATTTGCAGTCATATTTCAGGTCACTAAAATATTGGATTTATTTACTTTGGGTTTTATTTTTGTTTCAACCTGGTAATGTTATTTAGTTATGGTGAAAAGAAGTCTTAAATAGTATAATTTCACTGTAGGTTGATAAAATGTTGTTAAAATCTCTATGGTACCTACATCATTTGTTTACTTTCTGGAATTAAATGTACTGTATGGTCATTTGGATTCCTGACAGGGATATTCAGTAATTAAAGGCTATATATAACATTAAGCCTTTTGCTTTGGTTCAGTCAGAACAATGAAAAACAAATGCCTTTGTGGCATTAGGCATTATGTTTTTCCCTCTTCCTCGAGATTTTAAAGGAAGGAGAAAGTTTCAGTACTGAAAAAGCATACTTATTTCTCTGTTTTCCAGCCTGAACCACCACCCACAAACAAATGGCAACTTGATAATTGGCTGAATAAAGTGAACCCACATAAAGTGTCACCAGCTTCTTCTGTGGACAGTAATATCCCATCATCTCAAGGCTATAAAAAGGAAGGCCGAGAACAGGGCACAGGGAATAGCTATACTGATCCAAGTGGTCCTAAAGAAACAAGTTCTGCTACTCCTGGACGAGACTCCAAAACTGTCCAAAAGGGATCAGAGAGTGGACGTGGGAGGCAGAAGTCTCCTGCACAGAGTGACAGCACAGCACAGCGGAGAACTGTAGGCAAAAAACAACCGAAAAAGACTGAGAAGGCAGCTGCTGAAGAGCCCCGCGGAGGCCTGAAGATAGAGAGTGAAACCCCTGTAGACATGGCTACCAGCATGCCCTCCAGCAGACACAAAGCAGCTACCAAAGGCTCAAGGAAACCCAATATAAAAAAGGAGTCCAAATCTTCCCCTCGACCTTCAGCAGAGAAAAAGAAATACAAGTCAACAAGTAAATCTTCCCAGAAATCAAGGGAAATCATAGAAACAGATACCTCATCCTCAGATTCAGATGAAAGCGAGAGCCTTCCTCCTTCCTCACAAACTCCTAAGTACCCTGAGAGTAATAGGACTCCCGTTAAGCCCTCCTCAGTGGAGGAAGAAGATAGCTTTTTTCGGCAACGAATGTTCTCTCCTATGGAAGAGAAGGAACTTCTTTCACCCCTCAGTGAGCCTGATGACAGGTATCCACTTATTGTGAAGATTGACCTGAATCTCTTGACTAGAATACCAGGAAAGCCTTACAAAGAAACAGAGACACCCAAGGGGGAAAAGAAAAATGTTCCAGAAAAGCACACAAGAGAGGCTCAGAAACAAGCCTCAGAAAAAGTTTCCAACAAAGGCAAAAGGAAACATAAGGTTTGTAAAGGGTTTTTGTTGTTGTTGTTTTTTGAACATCAGCATCTAAAATGCAATGGAAATCTCAGTGAGCCAAAAAATAGCTAGTTGAGTCAGCTATGAGGGAAAATAGAGATGAGCCTAAAGCCCCAATGAAGCTACAGACATAAGAGTCTCTTGAAGACCGTTCTGCCTCTGCCGGTCTCCTTTAGTAAAGAATTATAGTTTCTAATCAAATAAGAAATGAGCCAGTGCTTCTGTTCATGATGTGTGCTGGCCAGTATAGAGGTGAGAGTGAAGCAGAGATTGCAAACTGGCCTTCACAACATTCTTAAAATTTTGGTTTTCAGTCTCTTTAGTTGGGATTATTTACCCTTCAGGTTGTCACAGTCCCTACACTTTTTTCTCTCTTACACCCAGACCAAGTCACACTTTTTTTTTTTTGCGGTACACGGGCCTCTCACTGTTGTGGCCTCTCCCGTTGTGGAGCACAGGCTCCAGACGCGCAGGCTCAGCGGCCATGGCTCACGGGCCCAGCCGCTGCTCCACGGCATGTGGGATCTTCCCAGACCGGGGCACGGACCCGTGTCCCCTGCATCGGCAGGCGGACTCTCAACTGCTGCGCCACCAGGGAAGCCCCCTCACAGGTTTTTTATATCAATACCTGTAAGTCAAATTTTGATTTTATAAAATGTATGTATATCACCAGGAAACTGGGTGATGATCCCGCATCTTGCAGGATCTTAGTTCCCTGACCAGGGATCAAACCTGGGCCCCGGCAGTAAAAGCGCCGAGTCCTAACCACTAGACCGCCAGGGAATTCCCAGTGATGATTTTTGAGATTTGCTGCTTTGGTAAAATTGTCAGGGGCAGTTCCTGAAGATGCAGCAGATAGTACTGAGAAGAGACCCAGCCAAGGATAATGAAGAATGTGGATTCCTTTTTCGCATGTTTTCACATGTCCAACTTTAATCATTTGTGTATGGGAACAAATTCTTTTGTTATGGCAGAAAGTTTGCAATATTCATGCCCTGATATCTAAGTCAATAGGAAATCTTAAATGCATCAAGCAAGTATCTTGGGGATTATAGACAGGCCCATAGCTTTTGTTTCAGCAAAAAAGTTTTTCAAAAATCTTTAGGCTTGGCTATAAGCAGAAAGATGGACAGTAACAAGTATTGGTGAAGATATGGAGAACTGCAGTGCTGGTGGGAATGTAAAATGATGTAGCCACTTTGGAACATAGTTTAGCAATTCCTCACAAAGTAAATATGTAGTATTACCTTATGACCCAGCAATTGCACTCATAGGTATATACCCAAGAACAGTGAAAACATGTCCATACAAAAACCTGTACTTGAAAAGTAGAAACAACTCAGTTGATGAATGGATAAATAAAATGTGGTATATCCATATCACCATATATTCAGCCATATAAAGAAGTAAAGTACTGACAAATCTTACAACGTAGATGATCCTTAAAAATACTATGTTAAGTGAAGGGAGCCAAACACAATGGCCACACATATTGTATGATTACACTTTATGAAATGTGTAGAATATTCAAATCCATAAAGACAAAATGTGTAAGTTAGTGATTGCCAGATCTGGGGGTGGAGGGAATGGGGAGTGACTGCCAATGGAGAACAGGGTGCTTTTTGAGATAATGAAAATATTCTAAAATTGATTGTGGTGATGGTTGTACAACTTTGTGAATATGCTAAAAGCCATTGAATTGTGTACTTTTAAAGGGAATTTTATGGTATGTGAATTATATCTGAATTATAATCTCATCCCCAGCCCTCCCCAAATCATTAGGCTGAAAAGATGCCATTAAAAGACTGTTGCAGCATTCCAGCTCTTCTTATCTAAAATAGGAGGCTCCTTCTCAGACTTAAAACTTAATTTATTGAACATCGTTCAAATGAATTCTTTCACTTCACATTTATCTTCTTTCTGAAGTTTATCAGAGATAAACTGTTTGAGGGTAACTAGTACTGGAAACTGAAATTTGATGAATAGAAATCAAACCTAGCTGCTTTTTTTCTGTTTTTCATGCAGAATGAAGATGATAACAGAGCCAATGAGAGCAAGAAACCCAAAACGGAAGACAAGAATTCGGCAGGCCACAAGCCATCCAGCAACAAAGAGTACGTTTGCAAAACACATTACGTGTGTGTCAATCTGTTATTTGCTATTGGGTACTTTCTAACATGCTCTTAGAATGTTCCTTTTAGTAAGTATATGTCATACACATCTATACACAGTCATATACCAGATAGTGGGAGGTTTTGCTTTTAGCTAATTGGGATGAAAAGCAATTAAGATTCAGTCACATCTTCCTCTCTCCTTTTTTTAGTGGAATAGGAGGTATTTATAGGATAAGAATTAAAGTAAAGCTTTACCACTTTCAGGCTCGGTGACAAGCTTAGGTATAACTTGCAGGAGACTTACGAGCATTAATATCATCATTCACCATTCATCTTTTCGTTAATTTATTCAACCACTATTTATTGAATACTTGTGTGGCAGGCCAAGGTTTAGGCACTGGGTATACAACCATGATGGGGGGAAACACCAGACAAGATGTCTGCCCTCATGAAATTTACAGTTTTATTTTGTTTTGCAGAAATCATGTGTTCTAGTAATCAAATAGGGAAAAACAAATTTGTCTTGAAAGCAGGCAAAGTCAAGTGGAAAAAATCCATCACTCCTGTATGACCGTGTGGAGAAATGAGGGCATTTGTTTGGTTTGGCAGGTCATCTAAACAGAGTGCTGCTAAAGAAAAAGATTTGTTGCCTTCTCCTGCTGGGCCTGTTCCTTCAAAAGATCCAAAAACAGAGCATGGCTCTCGGAAGAGGACTATTAGTCAGTCTTCTTCCTTAAAGTCAGGTAATAACAGCAACAAGGAAAATAGCAGCAGCAGCAAAAACAGTTCCTCCACATCAAAGCAGAAAAGGACTGAAGGGAAGACTTCCAGTAGTTCTAAGGAGGTCAAGGTAAGGCACTGGGGGCTTGAACCTTTTGAAAAAAAATGTCCTTGCCATGTGACTTCTCCAAGGTGACACTGTGCTTTGAAAATTTTGTAAACATCTTAATTTCATAGACCTGTGCATTTTTACTCTCAAAATGTCATAATCTTGTTAATAAACTTGTGCAGTGATCTGAGACCATGAAAGGAATGAAGTCATCTGGCCATATGCATGTTAGTTAGGATAGAAACCCATAATTGGAAAAGTTGGTTATGGAAAAACAGTTGATTATGATCAAATTTGTAAATAGCTCCAGTTGTTCTGATTGGGTTCTTATCTATGGTTTTAAATGGACTTCGGATTTTTTAGAATTAGATTTTACAAGCAAGTTATACTACTTATAAAGTGATAAAGCAACCATTTGGTTTCATGAAGAAGAAAAAATTTCTTTACCTGAGCTACCACTGGAATTATTTCTAGAGCATGATCATAATGTAGGGGAATACTGTTAATGTTTGTGGGTATGTAATTAGATCAAAGAAGCTTTTTCAAGGCTACACTTTAGGCTCTCACCCTGAATTTGTTTACCAGGTTATTTGTATTGCTTTCTAAAGTGTTCTGATCAGGAGCAAACTACCTGACAAAATTAAGAAAATACCTAGATTTTTAAGTATATAATTTACTGAATTATTTGTGACTTAAATAAACAGAGACTTAAGAGTTGAAAAAAAATGACTGTTAAAGGCAGTTAGTTGTGCTTATTAAATGTGGTAATTAAATCTTTCAAATTTTGAGGTAATTTAAATGGTGAACATCTCAATTGAGATATACAGAAGATTTTTTCTCCTGCTGGACCCCCTTCCGTAGTAGTTTAGAGAGTTAGTCTTAGTGCCCTCGAGGAACCTGTCCTCTTGGCCTCTTTCATTGTCCCAGTTCTCTGTCTGCCTCCTGACTGGCTCTTTCTCCATTTCCCATCCTGAACTGTAGGATTTCAGGCCTGTGTGCTTCTTTCTTTAAATCTCTTCTCCCTCTCTCTGTCTCTGTCTCTCTCTGTCTCTCTGTCTCTCTGTCTCTCTGTCTCTCTGTCTCTCTCTCTCTCTCTCTCTCTCTCGCTTTAAATGCACTCATTAAGTGAGCTCACCTGCTCATTTGGCTTCTGTTAGCTCATAGGTAACATTCTCTGTGACTCTTCCTTATTGGTTTGTCAGGTTCTTGAAAGCAGGGATTTGTATCTCACTTTTTTTGTGTTTTATCCAGTGTTTAACTTACTGGATAATGAGGAAACATTTGGATCAAATGTAGTTATTTGGTTCTTTGTTGTTATCAACAAAATATAAAATGTATTGGCCCTGACCCCTTTGATTTCAAGATCTTATGGCACTTAACAGTTGTTAAAATTGTTAATGTTAGTCTTGGCAGTTTCCAGTTTAGGCAATTATATATGGGTTTATTAAAGAAAATTCTATAATTAACTTAGAAAATATGCTCTTTCTCATATCAACTAAAGAAAAATTAGATAACGTGAAAAACCAAAATTACATATAATTTTTATTTTGTTTTTCTAGATATTTGCTGATATCAAATTTTTGAAATATGCTGGCATAAATTTTGTTCATTATAGTCTCTTATGTTTTTAATATCTCTAATATTGCTACTTATGATCCTCTTTTTTTTTTTTTTTTTTGCGGTACATGGGCCTCTCACTGTTTTGGCCTCTCCCGTTGCGGAGCACAGGCTCCGGACGTGCAGGCTCAGCGGCCATGGCTCACGGGCCCAGCCGCTCCGCGGCATGTGGGATCTTCCCGGACAGGGGCATGAACCCATGTCCCCTGCATCGGCAGGCAGACTCTCAACCACTGCGCCACCAGGGAAACCCATGATTCTCTTTTATTTTTAGTATTAGTTTTCTGTGCCATCTTTCTCTTTTCCTTGATCAGTCTCATCAGAGGCTTATCACTTTTACTTGTCTTTTCAAAAAAACCTTTCTTTGTCTTTATTCTCTGTATTTTATTTTTGTTTTCTGTTTCATTAACTTACATGCTTTATAATTTCCTTTTAATTTCTTTTTGTTTTGCTGCTCTGTTTATTAACTTTTAAAGATGGATACCTAGCTCAAGTTTTTTTAAATTAATTTTCAGTCCTTTTTCTCTTATATTCTAATATAAGCAGTTAGACTATATATTTTCCTCTAAATACTGCTTTAGCTGCATCTTCAAGATTTGGTATATAATATTTTTATAATTCAGTTTAAAATGTTTTTTAATTTCCTTTCTGATTTCATCTTTGATCCAAGAGTTATTTAAACATGTGTTACTCACTTTCCAAACATAGAGATTTTTCTAGTTGTCTTTTGGTTAGTCCTTCTACCTTAGTTGCAATGGGGCTAGAAAGTGATCTGCATGTAGCAGTCTTTTGATATTTGTTAAGAGTTGCTTCATAAAAGAGCACAGTACATGGTAGATTTTTGTAATGTTCTATATTTGTTTGAAAAGACTGTGTCTTCCACATGAATTGGGGACAGGGAGCTATATAATTCAATTAGATTAATCATGTTTTCACACCTATATGCTGACTGATATTTTGTCAGTTTGTCCTATTGTTCACTGAGAGAAGTTCTTCTAGTTTTTTTTAATTGAGATATAGTTGATATATAACATTATATTAGTTTCAGGTGTATAACATAATGATTACATATGTGTATATATTGCAAAACAATCACTGCAGTAAGTCTAGTTAGCATCTCTTATCACACATAGTAATTTCTTTTTTTATTTTCAGAAACTTCAGTTTTCCATCAATAAACTTAAACTTAGGCATTTGTAGATCTGTTTATAAAACAGAGGGAAAGCTGTCCAAGTAATGTTAGATTGCAACAGTATTTAGGAAGCAATTTCATAAACATGCAGACTGCATAAAGAGCTTAGCATTTTCTCAAATCTCAGGGCTTTTATTTTCATTCTTGAAGGAAGCTGTAATGGGTGGAACTGAAGGACTCTTACAAGAAAAGAAACAAAAATGGTTACATGGTTTTTTAGAAATAGATTTTAAGCAGAAGTAATAAAGTATATATTATTGTGTCATAGGGCTGGATGGGGAAGCAGTTGGGAGGACAGAGTCATAGCCGTTGCATAGAGGTCTGTGTTGATAGGAGACAGGATGGACATGTTGATAGGAGGCAGAATAAAATTTAAAGTGTCCAGGCTCCTTTTTTGGCTGTGGTGGGTCTTTGTTGCAGCACTCGGGGTTAGTAGTTGCGGTATGTGGGATCTTAGTTCCCTGACCAGGGGTCAAACCCAGGCCCCCTGCATTGGGAGCATGGAGTCTTAGCCACTGGACCACTAGGGGAGTCCCTGTCCAGGTTTTTGAAATCTGACAGATCTGGACTTAAAGCCCAGTTTCCAGGAATACTGCTTAAAGCTGTTTGAACTTGGACAAGTTACTCAGCCTCCTTGAGACTACTTTTTATTCTATGCTAATGGCAGTACATATTTCATAGGGTTGTTGAAGGATTAATGATTGTGCTAAATACTTGGTTAACTGAGTGCCTAGTAAGTAGGAGGCACATACTAGATGTTAGATATTATTGTTGTTTTCATCGACCAGTTATTACCAGTAAATTTTGTCTTTAAGTAGTACTGCTATATTGATAATAGGTTTGTGTCTTCCTTATGTTTTTACAAGTGCCAGGGTTAGTGCCTGGCACATAGTAGACCCCTGATATTATAAAGAATATTTTTGTTTATATAAAATGGGCTTATTCCATAAAAAGGACATTTACATTCTGAAATTTTAATATTTTATAACAAGGAAATTAATTACCAAAGGCAATGGAATTTTGTTTGCTTTTTAACCACTGGCTCAAATACTTTTAATATTAATCACACAGTTTTCAACATAGTTGTATATATTTTTTTGGTCAGGAAAAGGCTCCAAATAGCTCTTCTAACTGTCCTCCATCTACACCAACTCCTGATGCTTCTAAGCCTCGGAGAACGAAGCTTGCCTTTGATGACAGGTGAGATAAATATGATTTTTTATGCATTCAAGAAATCATTCCAGTCAGCATATAAAAAACTCATTTTAATTTTTGTCAGTGACCAGAAGAATTGATTGTGTTTTGATCACAGAATATTCAGATTTTAATTTGAAAGGCACCTACTAGTCCAAATATTGCTCCTTTAACTTATTAACTCCATGATTCTCATGGGGAATGTGAATAATGTACCTTCCAGTAGAATCTTACTGCTTCTGACTTTACTGTTTAAAATAAGGGCTTTCTTAAATAAGTAAGAGCAATGTTGCTTTTTTTCCCTCCATTTTGATAATAGGTTATTTTTCCTACCCACATTTTGTTTACTCTCAATCTTTCAAACAACTTGGGTAAGTTATCAGTTAATACTAGGGAGTTTGATTTCTGTTTTCCTAGTAGAAAATTTGCCAAGTTGGCCAAAATGATTTATGCTCTTAACCCAATTTAAACATTCATCAGAAAAAACTGAATTGAATGTTTACTAATAGTTCATTTTCTTTACTTGAGGACGTGAAAACTGAGGAATATTAGAGACTAAAGTGAACTAGTATCATGAAAATATTTACCATTTTACTTATAATAAAAATTTACATTGCAGAAATTATTCAGCAGACCATTATTTACAAGAAGCAAAAAAACTAAAGCACAATGCAGATGCATTGGTATGTAAATATTCTCCTCACATTTATATATTTAATCAAATTAACTTAAATCTTCATTTGTTCTCATAGTACATCAGTGCGGCTCTCATTTACCTTTATTCTCCTTTCTTCAGTCTGATAGGTTTGAGAAAGCTGTATACTATCTTGATGCTGTGGTATCTTTCATTGAATGTGGGAATGCATTAGAGAAAAATGCTCAGGAATCCAAATCCCCATTCCTTATGTATTCAGAGACAGTGGAGCTCATCAAGTAAGTGGGAAGACTTGCCACATCACTGGCAATAATATTTCTCTGGTCCTTCTAGGAAATGACTAATATAGTTATATACAGTAAAGCTAAAGAGGATCCTTAGTCCTTTATTGTCCTTGGATAAGGAGAACTAGACACTTCAGTGCAGCAGCCTCCAACCTTTTTGGCACCAAGGACTGGTTTCGTGGAAGACAGTTTTTCCACGGACTGGGGGTGGGAGATGGTTTTGAGATGATTCAAGCGCATTACATTATTGTGCACTTTATTTCTATTATTATTACATTGTAATATATAATGAAATAATTATGGAACTCATCATAATGCAGAATTGGTGGGAGCCCTGAGCTTGTTTTCCTGCAACTAGATGGTCCCATCTGGGGGTGATGGGAGACAGTCACACCCAAAGTGTGTTGCTTATATCCCGTCTCCTCTTTAAGATGCAGCTTAATTGTCACTTGCCACTCACTTATAGGTTGTTTTTTTTTTTAATGATTTATCTGTTTATTTATTTTTGGCTGATTGGGTCTTCGTTGCTGCACGTGGGCTTTCTCTAGTTGTGGTGAGCGGGGGCTACTCTTATTTATTTATTTATTTATTTATGGCTGTGTTGGGTGTTCATTTCTGTGCGAGGGCTTTCTCTAGTTGCGGCAAGTGGGGGCCACTCTTCATTGCGGTATGCGGGCTTCTCACTATCGCGGCCTCTCTTGTTGCGGAGCACAGGCTCCAGATGCGCAGGCTCAGTAATTGTGGCTCACGGGCCTAGTTGTTCCACAGCATGTGGGATCTTCCCAGACCAGGGCTCGAACCCATGTCCCCTGCATTGGCAGGCAGATTCTCAACCACTGTGCCACCAGGGAAGCCCTACTAATAGGGTTTTGTTATGAGTCTGCAAGCAATTGATTTATTATGGTCTCTGTGCAGTCAAACCTCTCTGCTAATGATAATCTGTATTTGCAGCCCCTCCCCAGCACCAGCATCACCGTCTCAGCTCCACCTCAGATCGTCAGGCATTAGATTCTCATAAGGAGCACACAACCTAGATCCCTCACATGCATAGTTCACAGTAGGGTTCATGCTCCTATGAGAATCTAATGCCGCTGCTGATCTGACAGGAGGTGGAGCTCAGGCGGTAATGCAAATTATGGGGAGCAGCTGTAAATACAGATGAAGCTTCGCTTGCTTGCCCACTGCTTACCTCCTGCTGTGCTGCCCAGTTCCTAACAGGCCACAAATCAGTACCCGTCCTTGGCCCAGGGGTTGGGCACCTCTGCTTTAGTGGGTATTTTTGCCTTTATTTAGGTTTGATTCTAATGTTTAGAGGACTAAGGAGGTCATAAGACAGATGAAGTATTATATTTTGTGTCATTTGTTTCTTATATTATCTCACAGATACACCATGAAGCTAAAGAATTACTTGGCACCAGATGCTACAGCTGCAGATAAAAGACTCACAGTACTTTGGTAAGTGTTGTGTGTTTTAGCCTCTGCTAGATGACAAAGCAGTTTCATAATGAATTGTGCTATATTCTTCTGAAAGTTATCCTTGAATCTTCCTTCCATAACTCAGTCATAAATCTGTTCTTGATGGGTAAAGTAGAAAATAACTCAGAATTCCTTCAGAAATATTTTAGTTGCTGTGAGTCTCTGATTCATTGCCCTCTTGGCAAAAGCCTTGGTAGAGGGGGACTGATATTAGAACTTTTTGTTGTCTTAAGTGGTCACTTTTTCAGGCTCTGGGGTTTTTTTGTTTTTTATATTTAACTATAGTTTATTTTTATTACTCTCAGACTTCTGTTGTGTATTGAAGTAAAGGTGGACACCATAAAAAATCCAGGCTTTTTTTCTTTTGGTAGCCTCTCTCTCCATTTACATATAAATATACCTTACCTTAGGGAGCAAACATCTAGCTTGCTCAGGATAAAGAATATGGTTTGTTTGCTTGTTCCCAGAGAGATAGTTTATTTGTTGTGGGTATATACTTTACCTGGAACATGTTTAACAACTGGGAGTGCAGCCTTGGGAAAAACTGTCATGGTCCTATTTGTCATGGAGTCTAGTGTCTAGTGTGAAAAACCAGAAATTAATCAGATAACCACACAAGTATATGAATTAAGTATTTTGAAGCAAAAGTTTATGTAACTATAATGGTAAAATGTAGGGATACTTAATCCTTAGGTAGAGGAAACATGTACACAGCTGGTTAGTGGAAAGAAACTGGAAACTTTCTGTCAAGGAACTAAAAGGGAGAAGTAAGTGAAAGTAACTGGAGAGGTAGGCAGTGATGATCATTCAGGGCCTTTGTAAGCCATGTTGGGTTTATATATGTTACATCAGAATTGTAATATTCAGAGCCAGGAGTCAAGATGGCGGCATGGGAAGACGCGGAGTTAGCGTCTCCCCACAACTAGGGCGCCTGCCGGATGCTGGCGGGAGACCTTGACGTCCAAGGAGACGGGAGGAACCCCCAAGCGACTGGGTAGGACGTGGGGGGACTAAGGGCAGAGGAGAAGTGGAGGCGGGACAGGACCACGCCGCTGAGGGGTGGCTGGGATGGGGGAGGGGTTCCCACGCCTGGAGGGACCCTCGGGGGCTCAGATCACTGGGGAGTGCACGTAGCGTTTCCCCTGCCCGGTTGGCCCGGAAAGCCTGCGCAGCTCTCAGGCCAGATCTTATGCCCTCAGAGGCCCACTGCAGGCTGTGTTGGTCCTGGGGGCATAGGAGGGAGGGTGGGGGAGAAAAGGAGAGGCAGGTGGGGGGACCCTCCAGGACCAGAGGAGCAGGAGAGGTGCAGAGGGCTTTGCCCTGCCCACTCAGCCTAGGAAGCCTGCTGGGCTCCCAGGCTGGGTCCCCCACCCTCCAAAGCCCCCTCCCGGGCTCTGTGGGTCCTGGGAGCATAGGAGGGAGGTGGGGGAGAACAGGAGAGGCAAGTGGGAGGGACCCTCCAGGACCTGAGGAGCAGGAGAGGTGAGGAGGGCATTTGCCCTGCCCACTCTGGGCAAACCAGGGGCACGTCTGGACCCCTTCTGTTTTGTTGAGCCTAGGCCCAACCACCACCACCCCCGCCCTCAGGGCCTTTTCCAGCCCTGTGGGTCCTAAACATAGGCCCTGCCTGCAGCCTAAAAACCCCATCCCTGCCTAAGCCCCACCAACACAGCCAAGGCCTTTTCTCCTTTTTTTTTTCCCCCTTTTTTACTATTGTGGTTCTGTTTTACCTTCCGATTGTTATTTCATCTGTATTTTTATTTTTATATTCTTTCTAACATATCTGTTAGTTTCCTGGTCTCATTTTATTTTTCACTCTTTGTTATTGCTCTGCTCTTTCTTTCTTTTTCTTTTTCTCTTTTTGCCACCCTGCATGGCTTGCGGGATCTTGGTTCACGAGCTGGGGATTGGGCCAAAGCTCCTACTGTGGGAGCTCCGAGTCCAAACCATTGGACTAACAGAGAACCTCAGACCCCAGGGAATATTGATCAGAGTGAGGTCTCTCAAAGGTCCTCATCTGGGCACCAAGACCCAGCTCTACCCAACAGCCTACAAACTCCAGTGCTGGAAGCCTCAGGCCAAACAACCAGTAGACAGGAAAACAATCCGAACCATCAAAAGAAAAAAAAAAGAGAGAGAGACAGCAAAAAAATATGTCACAGATGAAGAAGCAAGGTAAAAACCTACAAGACCAAGTAAATGAAGAGGAAATAGGCAATCTACCTGAAAAAGAATTCAGAGTAATGATAGTAAAGATGATCCAGAATCTCGGAAATAGAATGGAGGCACGGATTGAGAAAATACAAGAAATGTTTAACAAAGATCTAGAAGACCTAAAGAACAAACAAACAGAGATGAACAACACAATAACTGAAATGAAAAATACTGATTCAATAACAGAATAATTGAGGCAGAAGAACAAATAAGTGGAAGACAGAATGGTGAAAGTAACTGCCAAGGAGCAGAATAAAGAAAAAAGAATGAAAAGAATTGAAGACAATCTCAGAGACCTCTGGGACAACACTAAACGCACCAACATTTGAATTGTAGGGATCCCAGAAGCAGAAGAGAAAAAGAAAGGATCTGAGAAAATATTTGAAGAGATTATAGTGGAAAACTTCCCTAACATGGGAAAGGAAATAGTCACCCAAGTCCAGGGAGCACAGAGAGTCCCATACAGGATAAACCCTAGGAGAAACACACCAAGCAAGACATATTAATCAAACTAACAAAAATTAAATTCAAAGAAAAAATATTAAAAGCAGCATGGGAAAAGCAAAAAATAACATACAAAGGAACCCCCATAAGGTTATCAGCTGATCTTTCAGCAGAAACTCTGCAGGGGAGAAGGGAGTGGCAGGATATACTTAAGTGATGAAAGAGAATAACTTACAACCAAGATTACTCTACCCACCAAGGGTCTCATTCAGATTCAACAGAGAAATCAAAAGCTTTTCAGACAAGCAAAAGCTAAGAGAATTCAGCACCACCAAACCAGCTTTACAACAAATGCTAAAGGAACTTCTCTAAGTGGAAAACACAGAGAAGAAAAAGACCCACAAAAACAAACCCAAAACAATTAAGAAAATGGTCATAGGAACATACATATCAATCATAACCTTGAATATAAATAGATTAAATGCCCCAACCAAAAGACACAGACTGGCTGAGTGGATACAAAAACAAGATCCATATGTATGCTGTCTACAAGAGACCCACTTCAGACCTAGGGACACATACAGGCAAAGTGAAGGGATGGAAAAATATATTCCATGCAAATGGAAATCAAAAGAAAGCTGGAGTAGCAATACTCACATCAGATAAAATAGACTTTAAAGATTGTTATAAGAGATAAGGAAGGACACTACATGATGATCAAGGGATCAATCCAAGAAGAAGATGTAACAATTATAAATGTTTATGTACCCAACATAGGAGCACCTCAATACATAAGGCAAATGCTAACAACCATGAAAGGGGAAATCAACAGGAACACAATAATTGTAGGGGACTTTAACACCTCAGTTAACACCAATGGACAGCTCATCTAAACAGAAAATAAATAAGGAAACACAAGCTTTAAATGACACAGTACACAAGATAGGTTTAGTTGATCTTTATAGAACATTCCACCCTAAAGTGGCAGAATACACTTTCTTCTCAAGTGGATATGGTACATTCTCCAGGATAGATCACATCTTGGGTCACAAATCAAGCCTTGGAAAATTTAAGAAAATTGAAATCATATCAGGCATTTTTCTGACCACAAATGCTATGAGATTGGAAATCAGTTACAGGAAAATAACTGAAGAAAACACTAATAGCTGGAGGGTAAACAGTGTGCTACTCAGTAACCAAGAGATCACTGAAGAAATCAAATAAGTAAAACAATACATGGGAACAAATAACAATGAAAACGTGACAACCCAAAACCTATGGGATGCAGCAAAAGCAATTCTAAGAGGGAAGTTTATAGCAATTCAATCTTACCTCAAGTAACAAGAAGAATGTCAAATAAACAATCTAACTCTATACCTAAAGCAACTGGAGAAAGAACAAAGAAAACCCCAAGTCAGTAGAAGGAAAGAAATCATAAAGATCAGAGCAGAAATAAATGAAATAGAAATGAAGAAAACAGTAGCAAAGATCAATAAAACTAAAAGTTGGGGACTTCCCTGGTGGCGCAGTGGTTAAGAATCCACCTACCAATGCAGGAGACATGGGTTCAATCCCTGGTCCAGGAAGATCCCATGTGCTGCGGAGCAACTAAGCCCTGTGAGCCACAACTACTGAGCCTATGCTCTAGAGCCTGTGAGCTACAACTACAGAGCCCGCACACCTAGAGCCCGTGCTCCGCAACAGGAGAAGCCACCACGATGAGAAGCCCTCACACCACAACTAAGAGTAGCCCCCACTCGCCACAACTAAAGAAAGCCTGCACACAGCAACAAAGACCCAGTGCAGCCCATAAATAAATAAATAAATAAAAACTAAAAGATGTTTCTTTGAGAAGATAAACAAAATTGATAAACCCTTAGCCATACTCATCAAGTAAAAAAAGGGAGAGGATGCAGATCAATAAAATTAGAAATGAGAAGTCACAACTGACACTGCAGAAATACAAAGGATTATAAGAGACTACTAAAAACAACTATATGCCAATAAAATGGACAACTACGAAGAAATGGACAAATTCTTGGAAAGGTACAATTTTCCAAGACTGAACTAGGAAGAATTAGAAAATATAAACAGGCCTATCACAAGTAATGAAATTGAGACTATAATTAAAAATCTTCCAACAAACAAAAGTCCAGGACCAGATGGCTTCACAGGTGAATTCTATCAAACATTTAGAGAAGAGCTAACATCGATCCTTCTCAAACTCTTCCAAAAAATTGCAGAGGGAGAAACACTTCCAAATTCGTTCTGTGAAGCCATCATCACCCTGATACCAAAACCAGAAAAAGATATCACAAGAAAATTATAGACCAATATCACTGATGAACATAGATACAAAAACCCTGAACAAAATACTAGCAAACAGAATCCAACAACATATTAAAAGGATTATACACCATGATCAAGTGGGATGTATCCCAGGAATGCAAGGATTCTTCAGTATATGCAAATCAATCAATGTGATACACCATATTAACAAACTGAAGAATAAAAACCATATGATCATCTCAATAGATGCAGAAAAAGCTTTTGACAAAATTCAACACCCATTTATGATAAAAACTCTCCTGAAAGTGGGCATAGAGGGAACCTACCTCAACATAATAAAGGCGATATACGACAAACCCACAGCAAACATCATACTCAATGGTGAAAAACTGAAAGCATTTCCACTAAGATCAGGAAGAAGACAAGGATGTCCACTCACCACTATTATTCAACATAGTTTTGGAAGTCCTAGCCACTGCAATCAGAAAAGAAAAAGAAATCAAAGGAATACAAATTGGAAAAGAAGTAGAACCGTCTCTGTTTGCAGATACTATACATGATACTATACATAGAAAATCCTAAAGATGCCACCAGAAAACTACTAGAACTAATCAATGAATTTGGTAAGGTTGCAGGATACAAAATTAATGCACAGAAATCTCTGGCATTACTATACACCAACAACGAAAAATCAGAAAGAGAAATTAAGGAAACACTCCCATTTACCATTGCAACAAAAAGAATAAAATACCTAGGAATAAACCTGGCTAAGGAGGCAAAAGACTTGTACTCAGAAAACTTTAAACACTGATGTAAGAAATCAAAGATGACATAAACAGATGCAGGAATATACCATGTTCTTGGATTGGAAGAATCAAAATTGTGAAAGTGAATATACTACCCAAAGCAATCTACAGATTCAGTGCAATCCCTATCAAACTACCAATGGCATTCTTCACAGAATTAGAACAAAAAGTCTTACAATTTGTATGGAAACACAAAAGACCCTGAATAGCCAAAGCAGTCTTGATAAAGAAAAACAGAGTTGGAGGAATCAGGCTCCCCGACTTCAAACTATACCATAAAGCTGCAGTAATCAAGACAGTATGATATTGGCACAAAAACAGAAGTATAGATCAATGGTACAGGATAGAAAGCCCAGAGATAAACCCACGTGCATATGGTCACCTAATTTACGACAAAGGAGGCAAGAACATATAATGGAGAAAAGACAGCCTCTTCAAAAAGTGGTGCTGGGAAAACTGGATAGCTACATGTAAAAGGATGAAACTAGAACACTTCGTAACACCATAAACAAAAATAAACTCCACATGGATTAAAGACCTAAATGTAAGACCAGACACTATAAAACTCTTATAGGAAAAAAGATCTTTTTTGACCCACCTCCTATAGGAATGAAAATAAAAACAAAAATAAACAAATGGGACCTAATTAAACTTAAAAGCTTTTGCACAGCAAAGGAAACCGTAAACAAGACGAAAAGACAGCCCTCAGAATGGGAGAAAATATTTGCAAATGAAACAGTGGACAAAGGATTAATCTCCAAAATGTACAAACAGCTCATGTAGCCCAATATCAAAAGAACAAACAACACAATTAACAAATGGGCAGAAGACCTAAACAGACATTTTACCAAAGAAGATGGATGGCCAAGAGGCACATAAGAAGATGCTCAACATCACTAATTATTAGAGAAATGCAAATCAAGACTACAATGATGTATCGCCTCTCACCGGTCAGAATGGCCATTGTCAAAAAATCTAGAAGCAGTAAATGCTGGAGAGGGTGTGGTGAAGAGGGAACCCTCCTGCGCTGGTGGTGGGAATGTAAATTGATACAGCCACTATGGAGAACAGTATGGAGGTTCCTTTGAAAACTAAAAATAGTACTGCCATATGACCCAGCAATCTGACCACTAGGCATGTACCCTGAGGAAAGCATAATTCAAAAAGAGACATGTATCCCAGTGTTCATTGCAGCACTATTTACAATAGCCAGGACATGGAAGGAACCTAAATGTCCATCAACAGTGAATGGATAAAAAAGATGTGGCACATGTATACAATGGAATATTACTCCGCCATAAAAATAAATGAAATTGAGTTATTTGTAGTGAGGTGGATGGAGGTGGATGGACCTAGAGTCTGTCATACAGAGTAAAGTAAGAAAGAGGAAAACAAATACTGTATGACAATGCATATATATGGAATCTAAAAAATACGGTACTGATAAGCCTAGTGGCAAGGCAGGAATAAAGAGGCAGACATAGAGAATGGACTTGAGGACATGGGGCGGGGGAGAGGGGAAGCTGAGGCGAAGTGAGAGTAGCATTGGCATATATACACTACCGAATAAAATATTTAGCTACTGGGAAGCAGCAGAATAGCACAGGGAGATCAGCTCAATGCTTTGTGATGACCTAGAGGGGTGGGATAGGGAGGGTAGGAGGGAGGCTCAAGAGGGAGGGGATATGGGGAATATATGTATGCATATGGCTGATTCACTTTGTTGTACGCCAGAAGCTTACACAGCATTATGAAGTAATTATACTCCAATAAAGATGTATAAAAAAGAAAGAATTGTGGTATTCATAGTTGAGTTCCTAGTTTTACTATTTTACATTATTTATATTGTAATTTGATGTAGAGATTCTGCCCCAAAGTGATTTTTTTTTTTTTTGCCATGCCACGTGGCCTGCGTGATCTTAGTTTCCTGACCAGGGATTTAACCCAGACCGTGGCTGTGAAAGCACTGAGTCCTAACCACTGGGCTTCCAGGGAATTTCCCCGCAGGGATTTTTTTAGTCCATATGTTATAATAACATGTTGGTGTCCTGTGGGTGAGGTTTTGACTTTTGAATGTCAACAAATAGGAGGCTAGTCCTAGGTCTCTTCCCCTTCCTTCCTCTCCCTAGGGTATGTACCATAAGATCACATCTTTTGGTTTTGCCTAAGAGTTAGTGTTGTTGTCCTTATGCCATGGTCTGCTCACATGAGCCAGTCATGTAGTCTGGCACGACCCAAAGGTTGTCTATACAGATGTGGCCAGAGTCTGTTGTCTTGGTAAATAAGCTGCCCTTTTCCATTGGCTAGCCTGCGATGCCAGTCTTTGCTGTACCTGAGGCTATTCAAACTGAAGAAAGAAACTGCTCTGAAGTATTCAAAGACACTAACAGAGCACCTGAAGGTAAGTGTGCAAAAGAGGAGTATCTGTTTCCCAGGGGAAAAAAATTTATAAAGTCTCCTATCTCCACCCCAGAAGTGCCCTCATGTTTTCCCTACCAGAGCAGGGGAGAAGCTACTATTTGGGAGCTTTCAAATAGTTTGATGTTTAAATTGCACACGTATCTGATTGTAGAACCTATGTAGCCATATTCAGTAGCTCTTAATAATATTTCAGTAGATGTAGCCTATTTTTATCACAAAACCTAATTTATACTTTTTAAATGGTCTTTTGTTTTCACTACCATCCTTCCTTAAATTGTTCTCTTAGTTTCCTAAAATATCTTCATATGTTTTTTCATGATAGCACTACATAAGTCTTCCTAAAATTCTGCCCTGATTATGACTTGGAACCCTTTCGTAGCTTATCATTCCCTGCAGGGTCAAGTCAAGTCAAAGATTCTTACCCTGACCTGCAGGGCCCTCAAGATTTCTCTCTCTCTGTCATTCTCTCATTCGTTTTCTAAACCTTTGCTGTAGATAAACTATATGGGTCATACACATTCTCTTTTCTGCAGCCTTTGTACATAGTATGACTTACCTCTTTTTGCCTTCTCCCGTGTTCTTTATCCATCTGAATGTTACTCATTCTTTGTCTCTCCCTTTCAGTTTTCCAGAACACCCCAGCTCCCATCTAAATAACTTCCTTCTGTTGCACATTTACACACACACACACACACACACACACACACACATTTTTGTTTCTTAAGTTTGTAAACTTTCTTAAGATCAGTACTGGCCCAGTGGTTTTGAATATATTTAGTACTTCATAAGTAGTGGGTTTTTTTGTTGTTGTTTTTGTTTTTTATTAAGTACATTCTCTTTTCTCCACAGAATTCTTATAATAATTCTCAAGCACCATCACCAGGCTTGGGAAGGTGGGTAAATTTTATTCTATAAAATATTATATGACAAGTTTATTTATTTTTACATAAAAGTAGAATGGGTTTGGCCACTTCCCAAAAATGGAAAGATGACAACTTTAAAAAAAAATTAAGGCCATGTCTAATAATGTATTTTTTAAAGTATTTTTTTCTATTTTTTTTTAAGTTGAAAATATCATGAACATGATCTTAGAAAGATTAAAGAGGGGACATTTCACCTGCAGAAGTCTTAAGTTTTTTACAGCACCTCACCCCTTCTCACAGTTTGATTTCTGTGGCTAGCCTGGTTTTTATCACCTTGAGCTTATCTTTACTCATGTTTTGACACAAATTTAATAACAGTGGCATGATTACGGTTTCTCCTCCGTTCCCACATCACTCCCAGCCCACCCACCCACAAAAAGGAGGAAAAACACCATGAAATCTTTTTTTTTTTCTAAGTTTATTTGTTCAGTTATTTTGTTTATGCTAAACGACAGTCTGTCTTTTGCCTTTATGTATTTTCTTAACCACATTTAAAGTGCGAAATGTGCAGATAAAAATATTCTTAACAAATAGCTTTTCTCCCCTCAACTACTGTTTGATTTTCCTTTTTTTATGGTCTTGGGCCTTTTCAGAAATTTTAGTACTCCTGAAATGAACCTGCCAGATTTCAACATGTGTTTTCTAGGAAATGCTTAATTGACAGGAAGCTTGAGATGATTGCAGTTGATTGAGAAAGCTGTTCTTCTTTGTCAGCTCTGAATAAGTTGGTTAAACTAGGAAAGTACCAGAAATTATGGAGTTCAAAATAAGATGTTTCCATCTACTACCACATTTTTGTGTGTGTTAATTGTTAATCCACCCAGCTTTCTATGAAACAGTTGGAAAGTACCCAGTTATTTGCCCAAATAGGTGGAAAGTGTGTTGAGCTGGGAGTGAGATGATGTAGCTTCTAGGTCTTGGAACCGCTACTACTAAGGTGTATGACTTCCTCACTTCTTTCCCATCTTTTGTTCTGTTGCCGTTTGTTAAAGGAAAGAGTCTAGGTAAAATGATAATTTGCAGTGGTCTTCAGTGAGCTAAGTATTTATTTAAAAGAAATTGTACTTCTCTCGAAACTCTTCTAGTTTAAAAGAATCTTTAAACTTTAAAAGTCTTCATGTAGGAAGAGCCAGTAGTACATTGATTTCCTCACATTCACCATATTCATATGAATAAACTTCCTATTTCTCTGTGTGTAGCAAAGCTGCTGGGATGCCTTCCCCTGTTTCTCCAAAGCTGTCACCAGGCAATTCGGGAAATTATTCTTCTGGGGCCAGTAGTGCTTCAGCAAGTGGTTCTTCAGTGACCATTCCACAGAGGATCCACCACATGGCAGCCAGCTATGTTCAGGTTACATCCAACTTCCTCTATGCCACCGAAATTTGGGACCAAGCTGAACAGCTTTCCAAAGAGCAGAAAGGTAGGGAGGTCTCTGGAGAGAATCTGAATGATGGAATTGTTTAAAAGAGCTTTTATGATATAGTTAAGTTAGTCTCTGGTATGCATTTAGTTTATTATCTAGTCTAGAGTTAATGACAGTCAGTTTGCTGATTGCCATTGCTTATCAATCGTGAATATACTGAATTCAGTCAAAAAATACCTTGCACTGTAGTGGTGACACAAACTAAACAAAAAATAGTTTTTGGTCTAAGACAAATATGCCTTTATTCATGTAAATTTAATTACAGCTTATACTGTAAAAATAATAAAATGTATATTCTACTCTGGGTTAGTTAACAGTAAATTTGGCTATGGGCATAGGATTATATCCAGACATCTTATACATATGAGATGTTTAATATATAAGAAAGCATGTTCATATTGGGTTTTTAGGTATATTGGAAGAAACTTATATGATAAAAGAGACTACAAAATGAATAGACTTACAGCATTCTTTAATATTAGGTCATTTGAGGCCTTGCACCCTGTTTGTTATCTCCAAAACTAAGAACACTGAGAATTAGAAAGTATTAAAGATCTTTGGAAAAGAACAAGATAAACACCATCTTATTTTAGTAGATGTTTTTAGTAAATATGTGTGTGTAGCATCTATTCAGGCAGTTCCTTTGTAGAGAAACACTTGAAGTAGCAAATCAATTAAGTGTCCTTTTGTCACAGAGTATATTTAAATACTTACAGCATGAACAGGTAATCAGATGAAAATGAAAAATTCCTATCCCTAAAGAGGGATAATAGTGGGAGAAAGGTAGAAGGGGAACCCCAACATGCAATAAAAAGTTGTGTTTTTGAAAACCAAATTTGTTTCTAAAATTTTAAATATTGTCAGTGCTACTCAGGAAAGGTTACAAAGCTGAAGTTCTTCTTAAGTCATCCCTACTTTACATTCTCCTCGCTGATGCCAGTTTTCTGGCATCATTCTTCCTTTCCTTTCCCTCCCTCCCTCCATCCCTTCCCCCCTCACTTTCTTTCTTCTCTCCCAGGCTCCTTGCTTACACGCTTACTTGCCTGCCTGCCTGTCTGCCTACCTACCTATTGTGTGGCAGTTTGCAAACATTGACTAAAGGAAAGAGAATGGTATAATGAACCCCATGTACCTTTTACTCAAGTTCAGCTTCAACAACATATTTTGCTAATCTTGTTTTATCTCCCACCCCCGACCGCTCCCCACCGCCCCCCGTCCTACTTTTCTTTACCCTGTGTATTTTAAAGCATGTATCAGATACGACATTTCACCTGAACATACTTTGGTATGCATCCTTAGGTGATAAGGAGTTTTCAAAAACATGACTGCCATGCCTTTATCACAGCCACCAAAATTAACAATAACTCCTTTATGTCATCTAAGACATAGTCTCCCATCAGATTTCCCTATTTTCTCAAATATGCCTTTTTTTTTTTTGTAAACAGTTGGGTTTGTTTCAAACAGGATCCAAACATTCATTAATCAGTCTCTTAAGTATCTCCCTCTCCTCCACTTTATTTTGGGGGGTAGGGGGCAGGCATGCCATTGATGTCAAGGAGAAACTGCAGCATAGCATGTGTCATAGTCTAGATTTGGCTGATTACTTCATGGTACATTTAGCTTGCTCTTCTCTCCACCTCATTTCGTTCATGCTGATAGTTATATCTTGAGACTTGATTAGATTCAAGTTCATTATTTTAGATAAGAACTTTTCATAGGTGTTACTCCATATTTCCTATTACATCATATTACGAGGCATGTAATGGTTATCCCTTTTTTAGTGTCAGTAACATTTGACCATTGATTCATTCAGATGGTGTTGGCCTGACTCAGTTTGATGTTAAGATTCCCTATTAAACTTTAACTTAGGCTTTTAGCATCCAATGGTGGTCATCACCTACATGTGCTATTCCATTAGGAAACAGAAAATTCATCAGGAATTTATTAGCTGGAATTCTATGAAGAAGATTCTTTTCTCCTCAACTGTTTGATTACTTCTTACCTTGTTTAAGTATACTGAGGTCTTTGTCATCACTGCACATGTAAAAACTCTCCCTACTGAGTCCTACATCCGTCTTCTTCCAAAATTGTGTGGGGATCAAATGTCAGGATATTATCGTTCCTTCCTCCTCTCTGTACCCTGCCTTACACGCACATCAGTCTGTATTTGTTCGCATAGGAAGAATCCTTTCATTTCTGTCTCTTACATTTTTAAACTGTCTAAAACATGAGATTTAATGTATCAAAGTTGTATGACACATGACTATAGCAGAAAGGTTGTCTAACCTCACAGTGGCTCTTATCAGGAAAAATGCAGATAACATCCTCCTTTTTTGTACCACTTGCTTCTCATACAAAAACAGTACACGGAGAATGTTTTGAGTAATAGTACATTGTAGAATTAGGTCTCCATTTTAATAATGTTTGCTGCATACTAACAATTTCCATCAGTGACATTTTGTTTATACGTATAACTCTTAATTCCTGACCATATAGTCTTTTAAAAATGTTTCGTGACTTAGGGAAAAAATATAACTTGAGAGACTATGGGATGATTTGTTTTAAAACACGAAGAGTTATTTTAGTGCAGGAGGGAGTGCTTTTTACTTTATATGAATAGTATTTTACAGTCTAGACTAAAAACTTTATAAAGCCCTTATTCAAAAGAGTGTGCATCATTTAATAAGTGTTTTTGGTTTTCTAGAATTCTTTGCTGAACTGGATAAAGTAATGGGTCCTCTCATCTTTAACGCAAGCATCATGACAGACCTAGTTCGTTATACCCGGCAGGGACTGCACTGGCTTCGCCAGGATGCCAAGTTGATATCCTGAACTGAACACATTCTTGTTGCCTCTGATTTTCTCCACAACACTGTGTCACATCACGAAGGAAAACTGCCATAACATACCACCTAGTCGACACTAAGAATGAGGAATGGTTTTCTCCTCCCTGGGTCATGTGTTGTTTTTTATAACCCAAAGCCATCATGTAGTTTGACCCCTTCAATATTCCCAGTATGAAAAATTATTTAAATGCTTTTAAATCTGCAGCACGTTGATAAGCTGGTTTCAGTGATTTGTAATAAGATTGAAATTTCAGTTGCAATTCATAACTAATCAGTTGAAATTCTATTTATTTTAATTTTTTTAAGTGCCCAGATTGGGGCTAGTTTAAAACTTAGTTATTTCTGCCTATGAATTTACTCTGTTGAATATTTTGTGTAAATTTAATGTAGGCATTTTTATTTATATACTTTGGGAGCTTTGTTACCTAAAAATAATGTCTTTTTGTGGTAACTCTTCTAAGAGTAAGAGTTGGTTCATCTAGAATGTGGACATGTTCTTTCTACACCTACTACCTGATACTACTTCAGATCTTAAGTACAATTTTATTATTGCAGAATTTGTACTCAGTATTAAGGATATTCTTCTACACATGAAAAATCACTGAAATATGAGAAGATGGCGTTCTACGTGGGTGTAAAATGAAATGTGTCTGGTTTGGTATGCATTATTTCAAGAACTGTGAACATGTGTTAATAACACTATAGCAATCACAAGGTGACTATAACTTGCATTTAATGCATTACAAAAGAGGGCAGGCAGACTTTCTAGGAGAAGCATATCATGTGAAGGGTTTCATAAAAGGACAATCTTGAACCTTGTGGATTTTCTTAAAACCATGTTTTTTGTTTTTTGGGATTTTTTGTTACTAATAATTTGACACTTAACTGAAACAGAATAAGTTACTGTTGAACAAAGGATGATCTAACTCCTGAGCGTTGCTGCCTATATCTCTTGCATTGATGATGTTTGTAGGGTAAAATCTCTCCAGAATTCTAATTTAAAACTCTTTTCCCCACACTAGATTGTGCTGCTCTGATAGGAGCATTCAGTGACTGATGTAGGAATGGGCTGGAGCTTTGGTATGTGTGCTTTTGCTATACAACTTAGAGCTCTAATGCCTGATGTAGAGATGATCAGTTTCTCCTTTTAAACCTGTCTTGTGTTTACTACCTTTGTATTATGAAGGCCCTCATCAGTGATGTATGTTTCTGATGGGATCAGAAAATTCACACTAGAAAAGTACCTAACTTGGTTCAGTATGAATTCTCTTGGGAAGGGGAGGGAAGCAGGGGTAGAGCTTGAGAAGCCAGCTCTGTAAAGAGTTGTATATCAAAGTACCTTTCCCTATAAGGTGCATATAGGAGTCAAAAGTGAGAAATATACCTTCTATCTTTTGTTTTTAGTGCCCCTATCATGTCTGGTGTGCCTTAAATCTTACCTTTAAATGAAGGGTCTATGGATTGTTTACAGATGAAGTTTTACACTAGTTGCAGATCACCCATATGGTTGGTATTCTGTAGTAATAATGTTAAATTCTCTTTCCTTTTCAGTCATCCTTTAGGGTCACATAAAGATTAATTCTTTCAGAAAAGCTAATGCTTTGGTACATGACTTAGTCTAACCTGTTGGGTAATGCTGCTTCAAAAAATAGTTTGTCCTTCTCCCAATTTGAAAAATGAATCCATCCAGTCAGAAAAAAAGGATTGCCCTGCTATCTATAGATGATTGCTAAGGCTTGAAATGGGAAAGAAGGGATAGAAAATCTCCAAGCCCAGTGGTATAATGACTCCTCTGCGTCTGGGTCTACACTTACCTATGAAGCTAGTGAACTTTCATTGTCCTGTGGCCTCTAAAGAGCTTCTTGATGGTTTTGTACCTCAAGTTGTTTTTGCATATCACTGAAGATTCAGATCTCCAAATTATGCTGAATTTAACAATTTTCCCTTGGAGAAATTGCCTCTGATACCTTGCAAACTTAATCTTAGTGTGTTTTAGGAACAGTTTTCCTTAAGACGACAGCTTCTCAGTGATAGTTATTCAGTAAGAAACTTGCCACAGTTAATCAAGTAGATGTTTGTCCTGTTCTTCTCTGATTTCTCTGACTCTGATTCCTTAACTTTCCGTGATATCTTAGAAATGGAAAAAGTATCCTCTGAGCTTTTAGACCTCCAGCAACAGCAGCCAATGGGGCACTTCTGAGTTCCAGTGTGTTCTAGTCTCTTGTGGGTCCTGAGAGGTAGCAGGAGCATTTCCCAGATCACAGTGATAATTTGTTAAAGCAGAATTTCCTGCATGTTTTTTGGTGCTGTGCTAAAGTACTCTCTCAAACTGTGTTAATTCTTGGAAAATGAATTTTTACAAGCTTTTCATTGTTGAGGGTTTTTCCCACCAGGTGGTAATGGGCAGTGGATCAAAATCCTTTTCTAAATAATTGAATTTTCAGTGTAATAGTCTCTGGAAACACCACTCCCTCTCCTCTGTGTCCATCTCCTCAGAAGTTCCGTCTGTCTTCATCTGTTCCAGCACATACTTTGCACTCCTTCACAGGCGACCATTCCTTCTTCCTTAGTAGGTGTCTTCAGTGTTCTCTAACTATTTACAACTGATTTTGACAAATAGCTAAAAACTTACTTAGTCTGAGACTTATATTTAATATAGTTAATTATAAAAATAGCAGCTATTTAAAAAATTACTCTGTTGACTGCTCTAAGACCACACTTGTATGCCAGGAGGCAGTAGCCTACCCCACTGGACTCTTTACAGGCAACCAACGAACATATTATGGTGGATGAAGTTGTCACATGGTATAGTCTTGCCCGGCCTAGGCTGGGCTGTGGGGAGTACTCCCCTCCAGGTGATTCAGGCTTCCTCAGTCCAGCCCAGGTCCAGTCTGGCTGGGGAGCATTCAGCCCATTTCTTGCCTCAGTGCCACCTTTTTCTGGGCAAGTAGTTAAGAACTGACTTTATAAGCAATGAGTACTTCAGATAAATTTACAGCTGTAGTTGCTGAAGAGTAGAGAAGGTTGAGCATCACTAGTTTAACTCTCCAATGTAAAAGCTGTCTAGAGAAATGTGTGCACGTGCCCACACATGCCTGTGCTCTGTGGGGCTCTCACGCTGGTGGATCCACAGGCATCTGGGTTGCACTTTGAGCGACACACTTATGGCTTTATTAGTTTCGCTGCTGTTGTTGTTTTTTAATTGTTGTTTGTTTCTTTTCATTAAAGAAAGGTTTAATCAGCTAGATCAGACAGCATCATTTTTATATTAAATGACAGTAACTTCGAGAAATTACCTTATTGAATAAGCTTGCATTGTGAAGCAAGAGCCTACAAAACACACCTGTTCTAAGTGAAATCTCTGGCTCTGGAGGCCAGCAGCACTCTGCAGAGTTTCAGCACAGCCCGTGATCGCTCCAGTCAGTGATGCCTAGTTGTGTAGGGGAGAGGTACGCTGTGCACTCTTCTAAGTGTAAGGGTATGCGACTTTGGATTTTAAAATTATGTACACATACACACTTTATATATATGTATGTATGTATGTATGAAAACATGAAGTTAGTTTGTCAAAAATGTGTGTGTTTAGTATTTTAGCTTAGTGCAACTATTTCCACATTATTTATTAAATTGATCTAAGACACTTTCTTGTTGACACCTTGAATATTAATGTTCAAGGGTGCAATGTATATTCCTTTTAGATTGTTAAAGCTTAATTACTATGATTTGTAGTAAATTAACTTTTAAAATATATTTGAGCTCTTCCGTAGTATAATAGGGCTCTTACAGGGTGGGAAGGATTTTAATTTTCCAGTTGCTAATTGAACAAAAGGGCCTCATAATGTATTTTGAATTATAGAAGTTTGCCTCTGGGTCCCACAAACATCTACTGGGAATGATGCTTTAGGCAGATTGTGATGATTTTTTATTTTTCCTAAATAAATTGGGAAGCAAAACATTTCAAATCCATATAGATTCCTATAACTCATATTCCCTAATTATGTGGAACACAGATTTCATTTCAATTTCATGTATCTATCTATGTGTTGGAGAGGCAGACTTTTTTCCAATAATAATTAATATTGCACATCTAAGGTTGCTATTCAGTAAAATAAATAGAAGAGATAAGTATTGAATGACTTAGAATATGTAGTGACAAGAGGCCAAATTGTTCATGTTTGTGAGCATATCTTTCACATATTCACGAATAGAGAAGTTCATTTTAGACCCCTAGACCCTGTAACTAAGCTGGCAAGTGATAGGAAGTAAGTTATTAACAGTTGGTAAAGCAGATACAGATTCTATTTACTCAAACCATATGGTTAATTAAAAAGAACTTACAGTCTCCAGAAAAGCGAATGGAAAGAATATCTCAGTCTCTTCTGTTTGATAGAATTTGGTCACAGAATAAGGCATTAGAGTTGTCTAAACCAAGTCTTATAATCTTTAAGCAACCTAAAATAGCAACCTAAGTAATCGTCATATAATGAAGTTGACTTTCAGGAATGTCAGCTTGGACCTCTCCTTGCCACCATGGCTCGGCTAAGCATAAATTCCCATTTTTAAAAAGAAACAGCTAAAAAGCTCTAAATGAGCATGGGGAAAAAAGCTCTCACCCAGAAATTCTAGTAATATTCAGTTTTGACCTCTTACTGCTTCCACATAGGGTTTCTTTTCAGATTTTATCCATTGGAATTTTCTACCTGCTGTGTTCCTCTCTGGAAAATATCTATTTGGAAATGCTGCCTTTCAAATCAATGCCATGATTATCCATACTGTTGAGTTTGTTGTTGCTGTTCAAGAAGTGTCCCCATTTTACAACTTTATGCACACACCTGGCAAATCATTGACATGAGCATTCAGCAGTACTGGGGTCGGGGCGGGGCGGGACGGGACGGGGCTCACCAACAGAGCTGGCCCAGGTGGTAGTGCCTGAAAAGGCATCACCCTTGAGGACCAGATGTAGGGTTGGTAAGCACAGTTATGAAAATTTCTATCTAGCCTCCGTTTTGAATGGTTTTAAGAAATTTTGTATATGGAGGATGGAAATACTTATATATTTATTGAAAATCCTTTTATTTGAAATTAAAATTATTTGGTGAATAATGGTTTGATATTTGGGGAGGGTTTTGGAGGGGAGGTAATGCCGCTGATAAAAGCCTTGTTGATTCTGCAGAAAGGTACTGTTAGTGTCTGATAAAATGCCTTTGTTTTGTACATGATCCAAATCTTTGTTTTACATTTCTTTTATCCAGAATATTTAGGCATCTGACATTTTCAACCAAAATTTCAATTATATACTGTGATTTTTATTTGTTGTAATACATTAAAATTTCAGAGGTACTTTGGGGCTCAAAAGCTAGGATTTCTAAGTATGTGCATTTCACATAACAAAGCTGTTAATGGTGAGCAAAGTATTATATACTAACTAGATTTTTCCACATCTGTATAGTATATTATATGTATTTTGTGGTATTGAGATTATAGAAAGTTTAGAGTGTCAAACATGCGTTTAATGTGTATTTTTAAACAAATTTATGGCAATTAAAATATTTGGAGACAAGGGTATCACATTTCAATTTGTAAAGATCTTTTTAACTCTACTGTGTCATTAAGACGCTTTGTATAATGCCAAACCATAGCTGGAGATACGAAGTTTAATAAATATCAAATAGATTTTCTGTATTAAAGTTTATAAACACTGCTCTCTACACTTCTTCAACTCCTACTTTGCCCTTTTCGTGTAATTTCTGTTTTGTATTTTAGGGTCCAGTGCTACTCTTCTTTAAAAGTCTGGTCCCATCAGTCCAGGTCTTAATTTCTGATTATAGAAATTCTGAACTGGCTGGCCATGGGTCCTTCTGCATAGATCAGAATTCACCCTGCTCCAACAGAAATCTCATACACATCCTTTTTGTTATTCTTCGTGGCTTGGGCTTTTATTGTTTCATTTTCTTCCAGTTCTCTGTTCATAGACAAACTAGGGCACATCGTCAGGTACTGAGTGCCAATATCGCCTGTCTTTTGACACCTCACTGAAATGTTCTTTACATGGAGTGAAGGGTTAGGATCCAGGGCCATAGTTTATGAACTTGCCGAGGTTAATCACTAGCTATTAGTAAACTTTTGCCTTTAGCCTGCCATCGTGTTCTTTATTTCTTCAAGAAATGGTAACTCTCACTGCGCTTTCTGGATTGAGAAGTTAACACATTATTAGGCCTTGCTGGGTTTTCTATAGTATACAAAATAAATCCTCCTTCCCCTCAAAAGCATGAATTCCAGGCTGCCAGAATTTCAGTTTGAGACATTTAATAGTATACATAGAAAAATAAACTCTTAAGTTGACAAGTTTAGTTATGCTTATCTGCATATCAACATTGTAAGAAGAAACGGAGACCAATTTAAAGCATACACCTGTCTTTAAACATCTAAAAACACAACATTGCTTCACTTAAGTGCCTCCAACCAAGTGCAGTTAATCAATATTCCATAGAACGGAGCATTGTTGTAGGTAAGTGCTGTCCTCTTTTCCCCTGGTCTATATATATCATTCCTGGGCCACATTTAGGGAACAGCGTCTTTTTCTAAGGGAAAAGAAAAGGTGATTTTTAAGACAGAGGTCTAGCAGTGCCCAGAGCCACGTCTACTGCATTTCCTTCCTCTGCTTGATATCCAGTCTCAGGGTAGAGCGAAGAAAGGAAAGGAACTACTCTTTCACGGTACCTATGTGGAGCCATTCTTGGCTTTTAACTCTTGAGGGATTCTCCCCCGTGGAGCTCCCACCTCAACCCAGGCACTCTTCCACCCCAATTTTATTTTTAGGTCTGTGTATGTGCTGATCTTTCCTTTGAGCAGCTTCCCAGGCCTCTTGGGCCCAGGTTTGTGGAGTACCTGCATAGCCTTGTGATACATTCAGAATCATCCCAACAGGAGGCTCCAATGGGCCTGAGGGAAACCCCTCTCCAAAATGGGGTCATTCTCCTCAGCCTTCTCTTTGCTGAACTCAATTCTGGTATTGGGGAGCCATATACCTGTAGGACAAAGACAGATTCACCTCAGGTATGGAAGAGTTGAAGCCTTGCTGTACAACTTGGAATAATGATCCCCACCCCCCAGATGCTGTAGACTCAGCAGAGGGTCCATTCCTCAGGACTGAGTCTGGTGCTCAAGGTCTGCTTACAGTTCTTCCACCACCACTACCATCCCCACCCACCCACGTATGTATCCTTCTCTTCTTACCTGGCCTAACAGCAACAGGCAGACCAGGAGTACTGCAAAGAGTTTGAGGTGCCACATCTCAGTAGATGGGATATTGGATCATGAAGGCTGGGGACAGTTCCCACTCCCTTTTATAGATAGATCTGCCTCTTCTATGGTTGCCAAGTGAGATGGGGGCAAAGTTTATATTTGCAGTCAGGGTCAATTTAATAAGTTAATGTCTACCAGAGAGGAATGTGCTCAAGGCCTGCCTTTCAGGCATGTAGTATTTACTGATCCCTCATCTGGACTTTGAGTGATCGTGTTGCTGGCGTGGACCTTTTCACCCATTTTGCCAAAAGTCAGCACTACCTCCTCCCCTTTGAAAAGCCACGTGAAGCCATTGAGGGAGACTAGACACCTGGCCACGTTTTGATTCCAAAATAGCTTAGTGAGATCACTTTAGTCAAAACAGAATTCTAATAATGAGGTCTTCAGAAATAGTGTTGACCCCTTTCAGCCTTGTCTAGGAAAGAAGCACTGACCTATTTTGTTACAGGCAACTGGATAAGGCCCTTATCTCCCATCTGTGGGAGGATACTTCAGCAAGCATGGTCTACAAGTGCCCCAGATCCCCATTTGTATAGATGGACTATCACCCTAATTATTTGTTCCACATCATCTCTGTAAAGAATGGAAACCCAGCTGCAGAAAGTTCAAAGTCTGGCCTACCTGTCATCTCCCAGGGGAAGGGCAATCAGGACTGACTGGTGGTGGTTCAGTCATGGGTGAATTGAATGAATAAGTATAGGTTGACTTTGTTTCCTTTTTTAAAATGTGAATGAGGAGATAGCAGGGGCCCCTAAATCAGTGAGAGAGCTTGGTGGTGATAAACGTTGTCAACATTGAATTACTAGCTTTCTTGCCAGTAGCTGACTGGGCCTTTTACAGAGCACATCCTTCCAGCAGCCTCAGGGAAGCAGGCATAGGGCTGAGATCTCTCCAAAGCCCAAAACATTGTCACCTTAAGTAGGAACCAACGGAATGAGCATGTACCTAAACCATGAGTAGTTATGGGTACTCATTAAATGACACAGACATTTTAATAAATTTGTGCAGAAAGGTGTGAATTCTGAGTAAGATAAATAGGACTTCAGATTTTCCTATAACCTGGAAGGAAAAGCCAAGAAGACAAATGCAACAAGATTTTTCTTCTGCCTTGTGTCTCCCTGAACACCTGGCTGTTACCTCTTCCCAAAGCCCTTCTCATTTTCACAGGTTGGATATGTGGTGAGGGCCTGCCTGTTCCCCAAGGAAAAGTGGAGATGTGGCACAGCTGAAGGTGGAACAGGACAGTCACAAATCCTCTTGCCAAGGGAGAAGAGGGTGGTATGGTGGGCCTCAGGGCTGGGATTGGGCGGCCTGTGACTCCACAGATCTGTCTACCTGGTTCCAGTCCTCTCAGGACCAGGCAAGGCCTGGAGGGAGATACCACTGCTTGCACTTAAGGAACATTGAGAAGCAGAACTATGCCAAACTCACCTAAGCAGTCCTGCAATTTTGAGACTAGTTAGCTGTTCCTTCCCTTTACTCCTGAGCTTTGATACAGAATGGCCCCAAGTAGGGGCTTAACTAGAACTTTTGTGGGGTGGAGAAGAGGCTGTGTGCTGACCTAGTGAACACTGGGTAAGAACACAAATCTGATTAAGTAAGTGAAAGACTGAACAGCGTGATATCCTAGAGCCAGTTGGGTCTGTGGACTGACTGCCAGCCTCCGGTTAACGAGCATAGACTGACGTGCCAAATGGGATTTGGAAAGTGCTGATTCCAAAGACGGATACTTTCTCCTAATCCTCCATTTCTGCCTTCCTGTATTTCAAGGAAAATCAAAGTAGCCTTTTGTATTAACTTATAAAGCCAATACGACAGCCAAGGATAAGGGCCTGAGGCTCTGGGCCCCCTCTGTGCGCGGGGAGAAGGACTATTCATCATCATGGGTGTGACAACACTGCAGAAGCCTTTGTAGCTCAAGCCCTTTTTTTTTTTTTTTTTTGGCCATACCGCAAGGCATGCAGGATCTTAGTTCCTCGACCAGGGATGGAACTCGCGCCCCCTGCGGTGGAAGCGCAGTCTCTACGACGGACTGTTAAGCCTCTATCTTGTATGCCATCCCTCCTCCCAAAAGAAAAGATGCATTAACTACTGCCTGTGGAAGGAATCACTGTGAGGGAGAGTATTTCATGTGTCTACAAACTCTAGTTGTTTAAATATGGAGCAGAATCAAACTTTTAAAAGCAAAGCAGCATCCAAACAGCATTAAACTGAAGTGACAGAAGTTGTCCACAGCCATCCCACATCCCTTGAGTAGCTTTGGCCTATTCCTGACATTAGTAAAAGTCTAGGGGCTCTCTACAATCAAGTATTTTGCTGAATGAATCAACCCAAAGTACATGTTCCTTCCTCCAGCAGAAAGGTCTAGGCGGCCATAAGGAGAAATGCTTGGCTGGGAGGCAGGAGCCTGGGGCCCAGGTAGGGGAGCTGACCAGATGCCAGCCCTGCCCCTCTTTGGGCTTTAGTTTCTTGTTCTGTCAATGAGATGGGAGCATATCTCTGAGGCCCCTCAGGCACTGACATTTGGGGGTTCAAATGATTAATTTAGAAGAAGAAAGTGAGACTGAAGCATGTTTGATAGCTTACAGCTTGGAAACTCCGAATACAACAAGTGTTTCTGAGGTTAAGTGCCTAGGGTGAAATGGGAGACAGAATGTGTAGCTACATGAGCAGCTATCTGAAACACATTCCAGGTAGAGGGGAAATCATGAAGGGCTTCACAGTAATTGGAAACTTTTGCTGCCCCTGAGCAGGAGATGCCTAATGAAAAATCAAAGCCTCTGAAATGGAAAGACTTTTCCAGGTAAAACTTCAACAAAGGGTCAAAGTGTATTTGCTCAATTGCTGGCTAGAACTGGCACGGACTTCTGGGCCTGCATCTCTGGGACTCTGCTGGCCGATGGAAGAATCCCCTTTGCCACATTGTGCAGAGATAAAAGCCCTTGTGGGAGCAGGTGCACTGCTGGGGAAAAGGAAGGGCTAAATGAACACGGGATTGTGCCCCAGCAGCAGATGAAGGAGCCACACCCTGGCTGGAGGCTCCAGGTGGGTGGGTTATAGGCACAGAGGCCCACAACAGTAATCCCTCATAAGAGACTTCACCCATTTTCCTTTTCTTTATGGATTTCTACAGATAGAATAAACCATAAAATGATCCCAGATCCCATACATATCATGTACAGGAGCACTGAGCTATAACACATTCCACACCATCCACCAGCCCCACACCACCCCCGCAGGACCCTGCTACACAGAGCTCTGGGTCTCCAAGCATAGAGAGGGAAGCCCCTTGGTGAGGGACAGGCTTAAAGCAGCCTTTAACAATTTTATCCAAAAGCAGAAGCTTAGCACGTGCAAGGGCTTATAGGACAGTCTTCTCCGTAGAGCACTCCTGGGATAAAAGGTTTCAGACCAAGAGGCTCAGTGCCTGGTCTGGGCTAAGAAAGGGTAAGTTTGATTTTGGGCTGATATCTCCAAAGGACTCAAAAGAACCAGAATAAAAGTCTAAGGGTAAAATGAAGCCAAGATCTGGGACAAGGAAGGGTGGCCATAGTCCCTAGGAAGCTTGGGGCTAAAACTGGAGGGGAAAAAAAACAGAGATCAATGGCCTGTCAAGGCAGTGATCGATCCTCCCCTGGCCGGTGAACCTGTTCAAACTATGCCAGGTTAAGGATGCATTTACACCTTCTTCAGGCCCACAGCTTTCACCAGATTCTCAAAGGAGTCTATAACCCATATACGTTGCAGATCAGGCAGCAAGCCCTGGGAATAAACTTGGACAAAAAGCCAAACAGGAAAATTAGACTATGTTTGGTGGGACAAGAGTTTTCATCACACCACTGTCCTTTGTTAAGCCTGTACCACCCTGCCAGACTCTTACATGCCACTCATTTCACTGTTACCTCAGACCTATGGCTTTGTCTTAATACATCTATTTTATAAATGCGAAGCTCACAGCTAAGGAATGAGGGTTTCTTGCCTTTATCACACATTGAGGAAGCAACAGTTAAAGGCTATGGGCCCAAGTCTGTCAGTCTCAGCTGTACCTCCTTCTCCTGCCTCACAATCAGTGCCATCTTACTGATTCTTGTTTTGTTCTGAGGTAGTTTTGGTTCCTGAAAGTTAGGAACAATCATTAGAATAAGAAGGAAAGACACAGCCTGGGCCAGATACTGGCTGCCCTGTGAAAGTTGCTGCTCTGGACCAGCAGGAAATCCCCTTCCATACACAGCTGAAAAGCACTGTTAGCAACCTGGTACAAACACAGCCAGCTTGCTGACCCCAGCTCTAGAGGCAAAGGGGTCACCTCACCCTTTCCTTTCATAGCTGACTTCCTATCATGTGGTACAGCACAGCTCTAAGAGCACAAACTTTAGTGCTCTACCATTCACTAGCTGTACAATTTGAGGCAAATTACTTAACCTCTCTGTGCCTGTGTCCTCATCTGCAAAATGAGTGTAATAGTGATACTTCAAAGGTAGTTTTGAAGGAAAAAAACCCGAAAAACCAGAGGTAGTTGTGAGGTTTAAAAGAACTTTTTTGGGGCTTCCCTGGTGGCGCAGTGCTTGAGAGTCCGCCTGCCGATGCAGGAGACGCGGGTTCGTGCCCTGTTTCGGGAGGATCCCGCGTGCCGCGGAGCGGCTGGGCCCGTGAGCCATGGCCGCTGAGCCTGCGCGTCCGGAGCCTGTGCTCCGCAAATGGGAGAGGCCACAACAGTGAG